TGTAGAAGATAGGAAGGCAAGACTTCTCACATGCATGCTTTGAACATGTGATCAAGAGAGACCAGCCCCTGGAGAAGGACATCATGTTTAGTAGCGGGGCAGCAAAAAAGAGGAAGACCCTTGAGGTAATGAATTGATTGACACAGTGGCTGTAACAATGGGCTCAAACCTAACAATTGTGAAGATGGGCCGAGGCTGGGCAGCGTTCCCTTCTGATGTCCGTGGGGGGGGGCTATGAGATGGGACCAACTCCCCAGCACCCAGCATCCACCATCTTTCTGGAAAGGAGTTTTGGTAGCACTGTGGGTTAGGCATTTGGGATGCTAACCACTAGGCCAAAATTCAACCCCACTTGCTCCTCCGCCGGAGGGAGACAGGTGAGGCTGTCTGCTCTGCATGAAGATTTACCGTCTTGGAAATGACTCTGCGGTCGTGGGTTCTCATTTTTCCAGGAGTAGACAGCCGCATCATTCTTCCACCGCACCGCTGGTGCGAACCGCCCACGTTTCCAGTTCCAATAGCCAATTCCCTGTTGTGTCACTAGGAGTCATTAGCAGCCAACTCGGTGGATGCCCCAGTTTTGCAGGCGAGGAAGCGGAGGCCACTGGTTCCCGGTTAGGGTTCCAGCCGCCTGGGCGTGCACCCACCTGCTGCTCCAGGGCTCTGCTCTGCTCCTGCAGTTCCTCCACCTCGGCCTGCGCCTGGTCCCTGCACCGGAGCAAGCGGCCCATGTGCTCCACGCGTTGGCTGTCCCGCAGCCGCTTCACCTGGCTCTGCGCCACGCTGATCTGCACCAGCAGGGTGGCGCGCCGCTCCTCCAGGCGCCGGATCTCCTCCCTGCAAGGGCGCTGGGCGGCTGGGATCCGGAATCCTCCACAGGGGCTCCCCTCACGCCCCCCACCCACCCCACGCCCGGGGGAGGGGGGCGGTGTGGTAAGGGCTCACAGCTGTTTGCGGATGCGCTGGCGGACTTCCTTGCTGTAGGCCCGCCGTTCGCCTTCCATGACTTCGCATTGTCTGTGCAGGCGGCTCAGCTCCCATTCCACTGCGGGGAGGGACTCGATGGGAATCTGGGTGCCTCAGGCCCCAGGAATCCTCTACCTATTAGGGTCCGGCATATTGCCAAGG